GCGGTGGCAGAATGAGGAGTCCATGGTTAATGTTCCAAGTTCATCGTTGTTAGCTGGGGGGAGGAAAAAAAAAAAAGAAAGAGAGAGAGAATGCCCCAAAACCTGCTGACTGGCTGCACCGCGGACGCACGCCCAGCCTGGGTCTCGGCGGATCCTCCACACGGCTCAGCACTTTGTGTTGCTTTTGTGCCCAATTATCTCTACACGGAGACCCGGACGGCGGTGCCTGCGAGTAAAAGATTCCTTTGTAGAGAATTTGGGAATTATAAAACATTAAAAACCCGCGGCGCCTCCCGCCGAGAAGGCTGTATTCCGGTAGTTCCCCGCTTCCGTGTGTTTTCAGCGTCCTCAGTCTCCCTCCCTCCCTCCCCCTCTCCCTCCGTCTGCCTCACTTACCTGTTGGTCCTACCTGTGCATCCGCCTGTCACCTATCACCTCTATCTTCCTATTTTTAAAAAACATATTGTTGCCCAAACCAGATTGCTCAGTGGATAGAGCATTAGCCTTCTGACTGAAAGGTCCCAGGTTCGATTCCGGTCAAGGGCACGTACCTTGGTTGCGGGCACATCCCCAGTAGCGGGTGTGCAGGAGGCAGCTGATTGATGATTCTCTCATCAATGTTTCTAACTATCTATCCCTCTCTCTTCCTCTCTGTAAAAAAAAAAATAAAAAAAAAATCAATAAAATATATTTAAAAAAATAAAAAAATATATTGTTCTTGATTTCAGAGAGGAAGGGAGAGGGAGAGAGAGAGAGAAACATCCATGGTGAGAGAGAATCATGGATCGGTGCCTCCTGCACACCCGGTACTGGGGATGGAGCCTGCAGCCCGGGCCTGTGCCCTGACTGGGAAACCTGCATGTGAGCATTTCCCATTCCTCACACGCTCCCAGCAATGGACTGCGGACGGGGGCCGGTGAGGGTCTAGCCAGCGCCTTGCACAGCAGAGACCTCCTGGCCTTGGAGGCACCATCTGGATGCTCGTGAGGGTTTGTGTTCAGGGGCCTGGCCGGTCCACAGCTCCACCCCGACTCCCTGGAACGCATGTACATAGGAGCCGTGTCTGCCCAGCGGTGGGGCTCAGCGGCTGAGTCTCAACCTATGACCCATGATTTTTTATTTTTTAAAAATTTTTGATTATGGCATCACAAAATTGTCCTCATCCCCCCATTCCCATCCCAATCCCCTCCCCACATATGCCCCCACCCCCCTGTTGTCCATGGCCACTGGTTAGGCTTCTATGCATGCACACAAGTCCTTTGGTTGATCTCTCCCATGATTCTTTGAAGTCAATAAAAAATATTATTTTTTTTTAAAAAAGGAAATTGAATGAATAGCCCTAGGGTTCCCTAGTCTTAAGAAGAAAAGGAAGAGTTGGAGCAGCCAAGAAGATGGCGGGAGGAAAAGCGAGAGAGAGAGAGAGAGAGAGAGAGAGAGAGAGAGAGAGAGAGATATGAAGAGAGAGAGAGGGTGTGTGTGTGTGGAATAGGGATGGGTCTGGGACGTCAGCCACCCGTTTTTTGTGTGGATGACATAAGAGAAGACACTGGTCCCATGGGTCGGAGACAAAGGACCGTCTTCCTGCTCAGCCACATACTTGGGGGGCAGGGGGACCCCATGCAAAGTGGAAAGGGCTCTTCCAAAAGCAGCAGGGAGCTATGATCCACCTCCTCTCCGGAGGCCAGCCCTGGACCTCTCTCCCCTCAGGCCTGGGAAGCTGGGCTTGGAGGACCCTGTCCCTGGACCCAGGGTAATGCCATCGCCGACGCCCATCCCAGTATTCCTGCTGGACGGAATGACAGCTCAGGGGGAGACAGACACACACACACACACACACACACACGCACGCACACACTGTCTACTGGATACACACACAGTGTCTACAGGACACATACTCAAACACACGCACACACACACACACTCACATACACGTGTCTACAGGTTACACACACACACACACACAATGTCTATAGGACACACACAGTGTCTACAGGACACACACATACATTCTCTCTCTCTCTCTCTCTCTCTCTCTCTCTCTCTCTCTCTCTCTCACACACACACACACACACACACAGCGTTTCCACGTATAGGATGTGTGTATAGCATCGCTCCCGCTGGGATTTGTGGGAGAGCAGTAACCTCCCCACTCCTGGGTAGGAGCCAGAAATAGACCTGCTCTCAGAAATGAATGGGCTTTGCTGCCTAAAAATAGCGCCTCTTCTTGGAAACGGAGAAAACGCTTTAGCACGTGTGGCGGGCGCTTACCCACGTGACCCGCCTTTGAGGCGAGGAAGAGCCATTGTTAAGCCCTCGCCCCGAGGCACCTACACGAAATCAAAGGCCCTTTGAAGTCGGAGGATGAGTCTGTAAGCAGGGGCCCTCGGTGTAGAATGGCAATATCCACCCTTGCTTTCTGCGGAGCCTTTTACATTTTTATTTTATCTTATTTTTTATTTATTTATTTATTTATTTTGCCTTGTCTGCCCTCTTGAAGGGATTCAGACAGAAACCAGTTTAAGTGCCGCTCAGTCCCGCAAATCTAATGACGCGAGCCTGCTCGCCTCTATGTGGGATCTAAGGAAGGAAATCGATGCACAAACGAAGTGGAGAACAGACTGCTGGTTGCCAGAGGGCCTGGTTGAAGAAGCCAGAATGGCCCTCGGTGGTGTGGCTCAGTGGCTAGAGCGTCGGCCTGCGGACTGAAGGGGTCCCGGGTTCGATTCCGGTCAAGGGCTCGATCCCCAGTGGCGGGCATGCAGGAAGGCAGACGATCCATGAATATCTCTCATCATTGATTCTTTTTTCTCTCTCTCCCCCCAACAAAAAAAGCCAAAATGCCTTCTCTTGATCACTGTACTTTGAGGGGGAGGGGTGGCTGATTTTATGTGTACCCTACCAGAACTCGAACTACTTAAAGGTACAAGTGATGTGTTTCTTTTTTGTTTAATATGTTTTTATTGATTAGAGAGAGAGAGAGATTGGTTGATTGCCCTCCATATGCACCCCGACCAGGGACCAAACCCACAACCTGGGTATCCAGTCGGCGACCTGTGGGTGCACGGGAGGGGGCTCCGACCCACTGAGCCCGGGCCAGCGCTGTTCCTGATCCCCGGGTCCGAGCACCCAGCAGGGTTGGGACCTGAGGTCGGTGGGTACCAGACGCAGGAGGGAGGGAGGGAGGAAGAGAGCTGGAGAGAGATGGACACGGCTCCCCATGGACCACGTGGGTTTGCTCAGCTGCAGAGCGTGCTGAGCGAAGGGCCGGGTCATGGGTGCGGGTTCGAGTTTTCCACCGACGCCAGAATCCTGCTGCAGAAGCGGGAGGCCGCCTGCACTCGGAGCTTATGTAAGCCGCTGCTCGGAGCCATTTGGAGCCATTTCCTTTCCTCCCTGACCCGAAAGCCATTTACCTGCGAGGGCCGCCTCTGAAGCAGGTGCCCCAGGTGCCCTCGGCTCCCGGCTGCAGCTCCCGTCCCGCCGCCTGGTGTGGAGCTCGCTGGGCTTCCTCGGGGTTAGTCATCCTCTCCCTCCATCTCCTGCGCCGAGAAAATGTAGTCAATCACTTAATTGCGGAATAACGAGCGGTGTTTTCACTCCCCGAGATGCATTCTGCTTCGGTAATGCGATAAACGCCGGGAGGTGCTCGGCGAGGGGAAGCAGTGTTGTTGTTGATCTCTCCTGCAATTTACCGTGGCCTCGCGGAGATTGCACACCTCAGCCGGGGAGGCTTTCTGCGGGTGATTTGGTAATTCGGTGCGCGCCATCACCACGGACTCACTTAGGCCCAGGAGCGGCTCGGGTTCCTTCGGAGTGCTTGCTTCCGGCAGGTCCCTGGCCACACAGCCTCCTCCCCGCCCCCCCCACCTGGGCCCTCAGGCTCTAAACCAGGGGACCCCCAGCTGGCCTGTCATTCCTACCCTCCCCCCCCCCTCCCGAGACCCCGGCCTTTGGCTTTTGCATGAAGCGGGATTTTGAACAACCTGGTGCCATAGTTTCCCCAGGAGAACGCAGGGTGCAGATTCTACACACGTGACCGGACAGGCGTGTGGAAAAACCCACCCGGCGTGGGGAGACGTGCATCTTGGTGGGTGTCAGCGTGCCGCGCCGGTTAACCCCGATAGATCCTCCCTTCCTCCAACCGATGGATGGACGTGAACTCCACCTGCAGCCGGACATTCCTGAGCACTGAACTGCCCGTCAGCACCTGCCAAATACCCTAAGCCCCCCGTTCCTAAGTCCCCAGGTCCCTAATCAGAGGCCTTCCATGAAACCATCCATCAGCGTGTGCCGAGTGCCCTAAGCCCCACCCCCCTCTCTATCCTCCCCTTAAAAGGTGCCCTCGCGCTCTTTCTCGGGAAGGCAGCAGGCAGTGGTACTCTTCTCTCCAATAAAGCCTGTGTCCTGGCATCCGGGTCTCCGGCCCCCACTCTATTTCTTCTTTTAAATCCGAGGCGCACACACACGCACACACAGACACCCGTGCACGTGTGTGCATGCGCACACACACGCACACATGGACATGCACACGTAGACAGCCATGCACATGCTCACGTGCACATCCATGCGCACACACTTGGGGGAGGGTCATGCTTTCCTCAGGTCATCAAAGGGCTTGAGGATCCCAGAGCGATGCCTGGTTCCTCTGTCGAATGATCTGCGTATAAGATTCTCTTTGAGAGAGACTCCGACGGGAGCAGGATTCTCGCCTCCGTGTGCATGTCGCCGACCCTCCGTGTGACATACGCCTTTGTAAGGGGGGGTGGGGTGGGACCGACCTGCATTTCCAGGAAGCAGCCCCTGCACACGCGTGCACACACACACACAAACACACCCCACACACACATGCACACCGCACACACAGACCCCACGTGAGAGAAAGCAGCATCCATGCCCGCCCATCCAGCCTGCACGGGGTCCTGGGAGGGGGTGGGGGTGGAGGAGATACCGCCTGTGGCTGAGTGGAGGCTAACGTCTCTCTCTCTCCCCGCCCGCCCCAGGACTACACGCTGACCATGTACTTCCAGCAGTACTGGAGGGACAAGAGGCTCGCCTACTCCGGCATCCCGCTCAACCTCACGCTGGACAACCGCGTGGCCGACCAGCTGTGGGTGCCCGACACCTACTTCCTCAACGACAAGAAGTCCTTCGTGCACGGCGTGACCGTGAAGAACCGCATGATCCGCCTGCACCCCGACGGCACCGTGCTGTACGGGCTCAGGTCTGCCTCCGCGGAGCCATTCATGTATATTCTGCATCACGTGTGCACGCACACGCGCACACACACACACACACACGCACACACACGCACACACACGCACACACACACACCCCACTACTACACACACACACCACACACCACACACACAAACACACACACACATACGTGCCCAATCTACGTATCATAGCTTTATTACTTTTTAATGTATTTTTGTTGATGTCAGAGAGGAAGAGAGAGGAAGAGAGAGAGAAAATCAATGATTAGAGCGCATGCTGTGAGCTCTCCCATGACTGTTTATCTCCCCTCCATTTCTCCCTCCCTCCCTCCCTCCCTCCCTCCCTCCCTCCCTCCCTCCCTCCCTCCCTCCCTCCCTCCCCTCTAAGAAAATCGACAGGAAAAATATCCTCAGGTGGAGATGAACCCAACATATAAGTAAAAAAGAAAGGCCATACTGAACGCCACGGTTTTGTGGCTGAGGGCGGGTGCTGGCGTGTGCACCCTTCTGGATCTTTTTCCGCTCCCCCCCCCCCTTTTCCTGCCTATCCCGGACCCACAGAGTCCCAGACGTAGCCCCCCGAACACCTCCCATGGGAAGGAAGTCGAGGAATCCAATCCTGGTCTCCCCAGCTTTGGTGCTAAATGGGCCCGAGAGGGACCAGGCCGCAGGCAGGACAGACAGACCATCCTGCCTCCTGAGAGACCCCTCCTCTCTCTGCTGACGACCCAACGCCCCATGGGAATTTTACTGACTCAAAGCAAACCGTGCTCTTTTCTTTTCTTTTCTTTTCTTTTCTTTTCTTTTCTTTTCTTTTCTTTTCTTTTCTTTTCTTTTCTTTTCTTTAAATCCTCACCCAGGGAGATGTTTCCATTTACTTTTAGAGAGACTGAAAGGAAGGGGGTGGGAGTAAGACCGAGAGAGAGAGAGAGAGAGAGAGAGATTGATGTGAGAGAGACACACCAGTTGGCTGCCCCCTCCCACATGCACCCCGACCGGGGCCCGGGATCCAGCCTGCCACCCAGGAACCTGCCCGTTGACAGGAATCAAACCCGGGACCCTTCGGCCTGCAGGCCGGCGCTCTAATCACTGAGCGGCCCGGCGAGGGCTGTGCTCCCCCCCCCCTCTCTCTTTTAGCATAAGAAACATTTCATTTTGCTAAATAAGAACATTAAAAACAACAACAGTTACAGCCTACTATCAATATGATTTCATAAAACATTTTATGGACAATTTTTAAAAAATAAGTCTTTATTGCTCAGATGATCACAATTGTTTCTCCCCCCCACCCCCATAGCTCCCTTCCACCAGGTTCCCGCCCCACCCTCTGCCCTTACCCCCTGCCATTGTCCTCAGCCATAGCTGTACCCCTATGTGCTGCTTTTCTTGATAAAGCTGGACTCCAGTGCCCTGGGCACGTCTTCAGCATACAGCCGTACCGTGAACCGGGGGGTACTCTGGAGAGGGGGGTGGGAGAGGGGCTGACTCGTGGCTGGTGTGGCAGCCGTGTTCTTGCCATGCTTCTCACCGTCTCTTTGCTCTCTCCCTCCCCCTCCCCGCCACCGTGTGCCTTTCAGAATCACCACGACCGCGGCGTGCATGATGGACCTGAGGCGGTACCCCCTGGACGAGCAGAACTGCACCCTGGAGATTGAAAGCTGTGGGTATCCGTGTGGCTTTGGTCACCCGGCTGGTGGGTGAGGCGGTGTCATGACATCATTTTTTTTTTTTTTTAATGATCTTAAAGAAGAGAGGTTTACCCTTCGACTCTGCAGATTGCACTGCGGAGAGGGGAGGAAGGGGGGGGAGAGAGAGAAAGAGAGAGAGAGAAGAGAGAGAGAGAGAGAGAGAGAGAGAGAGAGAGAGAGAGAGAGAGACACGCGGAGGAGATCTCCATCCTAACCTGATTAAGAGAGTCTGCTTGCTTTGTGCGGAATACATAACAGACCCGGTACCCCCCACCTGGAGCCACTCGGCGCGAAGAGAGCAATGCTCGGAGATAATTCCGTCACGCGCTGCCGCCTCACGCCCGGGCGGCCGCTCTCCCGGGACCCCGGGCAGCTGGAGGAGAAACCCATTCTCCGTCAGGGGCTCGAGAGCCATCTCTGCGTCGGGGCAATTTGCTTCCATTTGAGGCGCCTTCCACGGCCTTATTGGTAACGCGGTGCCGAGCGCTCCTGTGTGCTCGGGAGCCGCGTGGTGTCGTCCAATCACAGACCCCCGCCCGCCGCCGCCGCCGCCGCCGCCGTCCGGGCGGGCGTGCACGGGGCGGTGATGCCCACTCCCCCAGCCTCTCCCCAGGGGGGCTGGCCATTCATCTCTGCCGGGCTTAGCCGTGTCCGTGTTTATTTACGTCTATTCTTTTGAAATATATTTTTTATTATTGATTTCAGAGAGGAAGGGAGAGGGAGAGGGAGAGAGAGATGAGGAGAGAGAATCATGGACCGGCTGCCTCCTGCACGCCCTGTGCTGGGGATGGAGCCAGAAACCCAGACATGTGCTCTTGATGGGGAGTGGAACCGTGACCTGGTTCCTAGGTCAACACTCAACCACTGAGCTGTGCCAGCTGGGTGGCTTGTCGGTGTTTCTATTGAATTTTTTTTTGGCGAAGGACTGACTCTGCAGTGTCACTCAATGCCTTTGTGGTGAGCAGGGAATGTCGGCCTGTGGACTGAAGGGTCCCGGGTTCCATTCCCACTCAGGGCACAGGGCTGGGTTTCGGGATCCATCCCCAGTGTGGGGTGTGCAGGAGGAAGCCGATCCATGATTCTCTCTCCTCGTGGATGTTTCTATCTCTCTCCCTCTCCCTTCCTCTCTGAGATCAATAAAAATATATATTTTGAAAAAAAAAATAAAAGAACAGAAATAGGGTGGGACGGGAGAGCTGAGATTCTCCAAGCTCCTCACCCACCGCTGACTTCAGCCCCTAAAGACGGGGAGACGCCAAACGGGAAGGAGACGTTCTGAACCCCCTTGGCTGGGGGGCTTAGCCTCCCGCGGCCATGTCAGGGGCGAGGCTGGAAGCCGGCCAGCGCTGTGTGTGTAATTGTGACGTCTCTGCAGAGGGCACGCGTGAAAACGCACTGCGTCGTTAGGCAAAGCTGTTGAAAAACGGCCAGAACGGTGCTTGATGTCTCAGACACCAAGTGCACACGGTAGAGAAGACGAATAGATTGAATTACGTAAAAACATAGACCTCGGAGGGACCGGCTAGGGCTGGGGCTCCGAGGGTCCCTGGGGCTGCCGGGGAGCGCCGAGGGGGGCTGCAGGGGGTGAGGGGTGCCGCCGCGGAGGTGGGGTGGCGGGGGAGGGGGGTTGGCGCGGGGGGAGGGGTGTGAACCTGGCCTCATGGGCGGAGCCAAGTCTCTCAGAGTGCATGCAGAATGCCTGCGGGCTTGCAGGCCCTGAATCCGTTTTCTTGTCGAGGTAAAACAAAGCCTGCAGGGGAACAGGATGGGGAAAAGGATGCTGCTTGGGATCAGCGGCAGACAGGAGGGGAGGTGGGGGCGGGGCGGTCTCCCCACAAGGCCCTGGCCCCAGGCAGCTGGATGCCGCCCAGCCCTGCAGGGTTACCAGCTGGGAGGGAGGCAGGACAAAAGAGGAGAGGTCGCTGGGGCAGCGACAGGGCCCCTGCCTGCTGGGGGCGGGGGGGAGGGGTGGTGGGAAGAGGGAGGCCCCTCAGAGCAGATGGCTGCTTACCCAGAGGTCAGAGATCGGTGGGAGAGGTACTGGTTTCAGCCCTGGACGGCTGTGTGTCCTCGAGGAATCGCTTGCCTGAGCCGTGGGCCACAGCAGCTCCACACAGGAGGGTGGGGGGACGGTGTGTGCACCCCACTTGCCCCGAGGGCATTCCGCTCCCTAATCAGCACCCCGCCTCCCCTCCTCCCCTCCCCCAGCGCTCCGGGGACGGCACAGGGCCCCTTGGGGACCTCTTTCGTGAGCTCCGGAGGGGCCACTGCTCTCCCGTCTTTTTTCCCAGCGCCACCCCGGAAACAGGTGATCACGGCGAGAGTGCTCACGTGGACAAAGGGGGTGGGGGCGTGTGGGAAAAATGCATACACAGAGCTTGCACCCGTCCGAAAGCACGCCGACCTGAGGGGAAAAACTGGTGTGACAAGCAACTTATTCTACGTTCTCTTCTTCGTTCACTCAGATGGTCTGACTCGCACACGTTAAAACCTCGCGTGAACCTCTTTGCCTGGGTCTCCCTATTATGTTCAGGAGGAATGTGACACGTGTGAAGCACCTGTGTCCCACCTGCCTCCCCGGCTCTCCTCCCGAACCATCGGTCTCACACTGTGAGCTTCTGATCGCCGGTGGTTCTATCAGAATCGGCAATGGGCCCGGCGCCTCACGCCCCCGTCCCCGCTCCTCTGTCCCCGCAGACGGCTACACCACGGACGACATTGAGTTCTACTGGCGCGGCGGCGACTTCGCCGTGACCGGCGTGGAGCGCATCGAGCTGCCGCAGTTCTCCATCGTGGAGCACCGGCTGGTCTCCCGGAACGTGGTCTTCGCCACGGGTGCGTCCATCCCCGCTTCCCCGCCTTCCGCCCTCCACCCCCCGGTCCCCACAGACACCGGTCTCCTTGTTCATTTACATGGTCCCTTCTCTGTCCTCACCTGAGGATACTTCCCCATTGATTTTTACGAGCGTGGAATAGAGAGGGAGGGAGGGAAGGAGGGAGAGAGAAAGAGAGAGACAGAGACAGACATTGATTGGTGGCCTCCTGCATGAGCCCTGACCAGGGCCCTTGACCGGAATCGAACCTGGGACCCTTAGGTCCAGTCCACAGGCCAACGCTCTATCCATGGAGCCAGACCGACCAGGGCCGCTGGTCTCCTTGTGAAATCTCCTGTGCACGGCCCCGGGTCAGCCAAAACAGCGGGGTCAGAGATCCCTCACCTATTATAGTAGGTGCCCTTCCCTCCGTCTCCCAGAGGATAGTGAGCTTGGGTGGGTAGAAGGCTCTCCTTGGCGGCTGGTTATGGAGACGGCGGGTGAATTCAGTCAACCCACTTTTTAAACCCTATTTTTATTGATCTCAGCAAGGAAGGGAGAGAGAGAGAGAGAGAAGCATCCATGATGAGAGAGAACCGTGCATCGGCTGCCTCCTGCGCGCCCCACACTGGGGATCGAGCCTGCAACCCGGGCCTGTACCCTGACAGGGAATCGAACCCTGACCTCCTGGTTCCTAGGTCGGAGCTCAACCATGGAGCCCCGCTGGCTTGGCAAACCCATGTTTGGTGACATAAGTAACTCACTGTGGGCGGCCCAGGCACCAGCCATGTCCTTGGGGGCAGGGAGGAAGGGGAGAGGCCTGAGAAGGGGGTGGGGGGGCTCTCCCTTCCCTCCCCACATTCTTCCACCTGCACCGTCAGGCAGACGGGAGCACGTGGCGTGGCCGGGGGTCCCCTTGGGGTCCCCGGGCTTCTCGAAGGCACGCGGTCACAGGGTTGGAGCCAGCTCTGGGCGCCCCGCGCCCCGTGCCCTGCCCGCCTGACCCCGTCTGCTCCCCAGGCGCCTACCCCCGGCTGTCCCTGAGCTTCCGGCTGAAGAGGAACATCGGCTACTTCATCCTGCAGACCTACATGCCCTCCATCCTCATCACCATCCTCTCGTGGGTATCCTTCTGGATCAACTACGACGCCTCCGCCGCCCGAGTGGCCCTGGGTAAGCCCGCTGCTTCGCGATTTATCTTTGCTTGTTTTAAAAATAATCCTGCACTGTTGACCGTGTTACATGTGCCCCCTTCTTCCCCGTGGCCCTCTTCCAGCTGCCCAGGTGGGTGCCATATCTGAAATGTGTGTGAACGGTGTCGTTACAGCCTTAGGGAGGTCAAAGGCCAGAGGTCAACAGCAGTCAACGTTTTGCCATCCTGACACCAGTCTGGTCCATGGCATCACTTTATTAAAAACTATGTTTTTAGCCGAAACCGGTGTTGCTCAGTGGATAGGCCTGCGGACTGAAAGGTCCCAGGTTTGATTCCGGGTCAAGGGCATGGACCTTGGTTGCGGGCACATCCCCAGTAGGGGGTGTGTAGGAGGCAGCTGATGGATGTTTTTCTCTCATCGATGTTTCTAACTCTCTATTCCTCTCCCTTCATCTCTGTAAAAACTCAATAAAAATATATTTAAACAAACAAACAAGCAAACAAAACTATGTTTTTATTGACTTCAGGGAGAGGGAGAGAGAGAGAAACATCCAGGAGGAGAGAGGATCATGGATCGGCCGCCTCCTGCACGCCTCCCACTGGGCCTGGGCCCCGACAGAGAGCTCCCGGCTCGTAGGTCGATGCACAGCCACCGAGTCACACCAGACGGGCGTCCATTACTGTCTTGAAGCGCCCATTGTTTCCTGCGCAATTGCTTTGATGTGTTAATTTAATTATCGGACTCCGACGTCAATCTCCACGCCCGGAAAAGGGAAAACAGGCTTGCCGGAGATTTGCATAATAGAGCTGTTTCTGACGCTCGCTTTACAGCGAGGATTAACATCCCCTGCTCAGAGTTATGCGGTGGCCCAGAAAGGAGACATGGCTAATAGGCCGCTCTTCTCCTTTAAGCCAGAGAAGAGTAGTCAAATATTTATCATTGCATGTAATCGGGATTACGCCATCTAATGAGCGTGAACACACACAGGATGCGGTGCTGAGCGACTCCCCAGAGCGCCCTGCGATCTCGTGGCCACAGGTGATCTGATGGTGTATCAGTGGGTGAACGAGCTGAGTAGGTCCCAATACTGCCTCTACTGTATATCGAGCGTAGGAAGGCTTCCTTTTCCGAGAGGTTACTCTCTCCTCGGCTAAGAACTACGAAACTGCACAGACGAGCTAAGCATGCCAGCGCACTTTAGGTAGATACAGAGCTGAAGAGCAGTTATCCCAGCCAATCCCTTCTCTTTTGGGGTGTGGGGGGTTGTTGGAAGTGGAATCTATAGGTCACATATAGTTGCTATGGTCCAAGGTCACATATATGTACAACTGCACATGTTATCTGTGTGTGTGTGTGTGTGTGTGTGTGTGTATGTCTGTGAGAGAGAGAGAGAGAGAAAGAGAGAGAGAGAGAGAGAAGAAAAAACTAGATAGAATGCACATTTGAGAAGGTCATAGTGTGTGTTTCCTTTTAAAAAAAAATATTTTTTATTGATTTTTTACAAAGAGGAAGGGAGAGGAGGGATAGAAAGCTAGAAACACCGATGAGAGAGAAACATTGACCAGCTGCCTCCTGCACACCCCTTAGGCACATGCCCTTGACTGGAATCAAACCCGGGACCCTTTAGTCCGCAGACCGACGCTCTATCCACTGAGCCGGTGTTGTTTCTTAACAAACTAGATAATAATCCAGTTGTGGATATATATATATATATATATATATATATATATATATATATATATGACCTTGTCTCCTGAAAGTGGAATCATCAATAATATGTTTAGCCCTGGATGGTGTGGCCCAGTGGATAGAGCATCGGGCATCGGGCTGAAGGGTCCCAGGTTTGACTCCCTGTGAGGGCACATGCCCAGGTTGCACGCTTGATCCCCAGAATGGGGCATGCTGGAGGCCGCCGATCGATGTTTCCCTCTCTCCCTTCCTCTCTGAAATCAGTAAGAATCTTTTCTTTTACTTTTTTCAAACAAGAAGGAGGCGAGGCGGGGGGAGGAGGAGGCGGAGGAGGGAGGACGAGGCCGGCGAGGCTCCGGGCCCTCACTCACCCCCCCCCCCCACCCCGCCCCGCGTCCTTGGCAGGCATCACCACCGTCCTCACCATGACCACCATCAACACGCACCTCCGCGAGACGCTGCCCAAGATCCCCTACGTCAAAGCCATCGACATGTACCTCATGGGCTGCTTCGTCTTCGTGTTCCTGGCCCTGCTGGAGTACGCCTTCGTCAACTACATCTTCTTCGGCCGCGGCCCGCAGAGGCAGAAGAAGCTGGCCGAGCGGACGGCCAAGGCCAAGCACGACCGGGCGAGGAGCGAGGGCAACCGGGTAGGCCCTCCCCCAGCCCCACCCGGCCCCACCGGCCCCACCAGCTGAGGTCCAGGGCGGGCGGGGGGGGGGTACCCTGGACTGGGAGCAGCTGCCTCCCGCACGCCCCCCACTGAAGATCGAGCGGCACCCTGGGCCTGTGCCCTGACGGGGAATCGAACCCTGACCGCCTGGGTCATAGGTCGGCGCTCACCCCTGACCTGTGGGGCCTGTGCCAGGCGGGTCTGGGCTCCCGGCCGCTGCCCTGAGACGGCACAGACGCGCCTGCTGTCCCCATAACCTACGGGACCGGACTGCGGGACGCGGGGGTCGGGGTTTGCGTTCAGAGACCAGGGCTCCCCGCCGACGGGCGAGCCGTCTGACGGCGCGCCTCCCCCCGCCCCCCCCCCCCCACAGGTGGACGCCCACGGCAACATCCTGCTCTCGGCGCTGGAGGTGCACAACGAGATGAACGAGGTGGCGGGCGGCCTTGGCGTCGGCGGGGACGCCCGGAACTCCGCGGCCGCCCTGTCCTTCGACAGCTCAGGGATCCAGTACCGCAAGCAGAGCGCGCCCCGGGGCGCGGAGGGGCCCGGCCGGCACCTGGGGGACCGCGGCCTCCCCCACAAGAAGGCCCACCTGCGCCGCCGCTCCTCCCAGCTCAAGATCAAGATCCCCGACCTGACCGACGTGAACGCCATCGACCGGTGGTCCCGCATCGTCTTCCCCTTCACCTTCTCGCTCTTCAACCTGGTCTACTGGCTCTACTACGTCAACTGAGCGCCGCCAGGGCCCCCGCCCCCCGGGCCCCAGGCTCCCCCTCAGAGACGTCGTGAAACAAAACAGCATTGAGTGGAACGCTCCTCTGCCTGTCGAGTCTTTTCTACCTGCACACGCGCACACACACGCACACATACACACACACACGCAGACGACACACACACACACACACACACACAAAACACATGCATATATATGATGAGACACGTGACTCTGCGGACGTACGTGTCTATGTCTCCCACGCGGGAGACACGTACACGCACACGGGACATGCCTTTCCCGGCTGCGGACAAACTCCACGCGGGATGCACGTTCCAGAAGGCGGAGGAGGCGGCGGCGTGCGTGTCACCAGCCAGAGGGACGAGTGTTGTCTGACTGCCGTGCCCAGGAGTGAGGGCGGGACCCGTGCTGTCACCCCCTACCCGTGTCTCTCGTGACCCTCGGGTTCGAGAAACCTAAACGCAAACGCTCCAGCCACCGGGGGCCGGGCAGCGTCCGAGGACTCGGCGTGGCTCCGGCAGCGCTGTCCATGGCCCCGGGCCGAGGCAGTCGGTGTCTGTGGCTGGACGTGCGCGTTCCCCGTGCCCGCCTGCCGTCGGACACGCGGGCGGACGGGCCCCATGCGGGCGCCGGGACCTCCCTCTCCGGGGACACCGTTCGGACTGGAAAGACGGACGGACAGCCTCTCCTCGTCCAGGACTCTGCTGCTCACTCGGAGGGACTAGCTTGTGGGACTCGGTGGCGACGGACAGTCCTCGGACATCCCCCCCCCCAGTCCCCCTCAGCCCCCCGCTCCCCGTCGCTGGATCTCTCTGGGCCTGACCTGTCCGGGGAAGTGTGGCCGCCTCGGGACCTCTGTTCCTCCAAAGGTAAAGCCCCCCGGCCGGCGGGCGCCCCCCCTCCCGTGCGTGTCGGTGCCGGTTGTGCCCGTGTAATGTGCATCTCTCTGTAGAGTTTCCCAGTTCCGTGTTCTGTGCTTGCTACCGCGGCAGCATGCCGTGTCTGCCCTCTCCACCACCATGCACTGCTTTCTGTCCCCCAGACCGTACGAGGGAAGCTCACACGCCCTGCCGTCAGGCGTCAGGCGCCGAGACGCGCCCTCACGCCTTCCTCCCCGCCTCTGACACCCGTCACCGAGCACACCCGACCCCGGCTGGCCCGGCCGGCCTCACACGCGTGCCCCGCCGAGCCCGGCATTCGCTGGAGGCAGAGGAGAGTCCCCGGTCCCGCACACACATGCACATACACACGCGCACACGCACACACACACACACACACCTCCCTCTTTCCATCCGATCCACAGCCTCATCCGTATCTGGGACTTTTTAAAAAGTGCATGGACACGTGACCAGGTGCACCGGTTTCATAGACGCGACCTTAACTTCCTACTTAGACGAGATCTTTCTAAAGAAAAAAACAAAGAGATGATATATTTTTTGTAAACAACCTTTCTATCACAGGCTCTGTAGACGGGAAGGACGGCCGCAGGCACACAGATGTCACAGGGAAGGTAGGCATTTGGAGAAGGAAGGAAGGGAGAGAGAGAGAGAGAGAGAGAGAGAGAGAGAGAGAGAGAGAGAGAAAGGCAGACGAGTCAGTCAAAAGAACCACCAAATTGAGACTTTTATCCCCAAATGCCACTCAGGCCTCGCCCTCTCTGTCCTGCCCCAGGACCAGTGCCAGAAGCAGGACCACTGTTTGTGCAGCCCTTTCCCCTCCTTCATCCCTCCTCTCCCTCCACAACTTCCCCCAGATCCTGTGCCCGGTGATGTTTCTCTCGAGGGACTCACCAGTGACTTATTTTAATTTTTATTGATGTCAGAGAGGAAGGGAGAGGGAGAAACATCCCTGAGAGAGAATCATGGGTCGGCTGCCTCCTGCCCGCCCCACACTGGGGATCGAGCCCACAACCCGGGCCTGTGCCCTGACCGGGAATCAAACCGTGACCTCCTGGTTCACAGGCTGAAGCTCAACTACTGAGCCAGCCGGTCAGACTGGTACCACTGTTCTCGGTTCACACAGAGGGACCACTTTCCAAGCGGTGTAGGGTGTGGGCACTCATCTTGAGCCGATCGTCGCTCTTTATTTTTTCTTTTTTCTTTTAATACATTTTTTACTGACTTCAGAGAGGAAAGGAGAGGGAGCGAGAGAGAGAAACATCCATGATGAGAGAGAATCATCAATTGGCTGCCTCCTGTACGCCCCACACTGGGGATCCAGCCCACAACCCGGGCCTGTGCCCTGACCGGGAATCGAACCTGTGACCTCCTGGTTCACAGGTCGGTGCTCAACCACTGAGCCCCATTGGCTGGGCCAGCCTTTAACCTGGGGGCGTCTCGAAAGGCTCAGAACCCACTGTCCACAGAGTCTCACCCTAGAGGCAAGGAACCCCCTCTTCCCTCCTCCATCCCTCCCCTCTCTCCGCCTCTCCCCCCACATCCTGCTCCCCAGGCGGGGTCCCCCGTTTACTTATTGGCCTGTGGCTGCTCTGGGGCAGTGTTTTCCCCCAGGGGTAGCATTGGGGAGGGGAGAGGGCTTAGAAGTTGAACAGATCGGGGAGGAGAAACCTAGTTAAGTGGCCTTATCGTTGTTGACACGTCCTAGAAACACAGACCTTGATCCCTTTCGAGACTTTATCCCTTTCTGCATCCAGTCATTCAAGGAGGGAGCTCTCCACCACCGCCCCCCCAAGGGGAGGGACCCCCTCCCCCCAAAAAAACCACGCAAGTGAATGCGGACAAAGACCCAGTTGTACAACGGACACAGCTATTCAGAACGGTGACATTCATCCTTTCTGGCAGAGCAGCGACTCAAAAAACACACCTTGGATGAGTTAGTTGAGGAATCCAAATACCCAAGCCAGAGGCCCCCCCCCTACCCCCCCCCCACCTGCCCCGCCCCGGGGCTCAGAAGACCGACTGTCGGCTTCCCAAGGTTTTTTCTGGATCTAAATTTGCATGGTTATCATCCTAGTAGCTTTTGAGCTTTTTTATATGCTTTTGGCACCAAGACGGGGTGGGGGACGGGGACCCACAACTTTATAGACACTGCGATGAAGTCAACATAATAGCTCGAACTATAAATAGTGTTTATAACTACACACGGACACACACACACATGCACACACAGATACTTACATATATTCTGTAAAAAACAAAACAAAAAACAAAACAAAACACAACAACCAACAACACACACACACATACACACACACAACTTTCTAAGACCCTTGGGTATGTGTTTGCTTTACTCCATTTTCGGAAGAAAACATGTTTTCTTCGAATCCGGTTATTTTATAGCTTCTCCATTTTGTAAATGTGGAAGGACCGATGTTTATGCACACCTCCCCCCCCCCCCCAGTCCCATCCCCCAGGGACGCAGGGCCCCGGCCGTGGCAGCGGGAGGGGGTGGCCGGGTCGGCCGGCGGGTCGGGGTTCTCTGTCTGTCACGCCGACCCCCTCGTCCCCACGCGGTCGACCGGTCGCCCCGAACCCGGACCTTGGACGTGTACCCGCCGGGCGGCTGTTCCCCGCGCCCCCCCCCCCCCCCCACAAGCCCAGACCTGTCGAGCGCGGAGAGGCGCGTTGAATTTGGAATATCATTGCTATTTCTTTCTCCACCACTGAATGGAATAAAAAAAAAAGTTAATTTTTCCCAAGTGGTCCTGTCTTTCCCGAAGGGCCTCCGAGGGGCTCAGCATGTACAGACGGGGCTCATTATGTCCGCGGCACTCGAGATGGCTCGAGGGCCCGGCCCCGTCACGCCCCGCGCACAGGGACGGACAGCACTCGAGTCCTCGGTGAAAAACAGTGTTTGTGACACGCGCCCGCCGACCCCCTCCCCGCTTCCACTCCCCGGCTCTGCAGAGGGGCCTCTGTCTATACGGTGAGCCACGCATCCCCTCTCCGCCCGGAACGAGCTGGAGAACATGTCCCGGGGACACGCCGTCCGTCCCGGAGGTCAGAGTGCGCCTGCCGTAGCTTCTGAAATGTGTTCGTTGGTTTCAGGGAGGGGAAGGGAGAGGGAGAGGGGGATAGAGACAGCCGTGATGAGAGAGAATCAGGGACCGGCCGCCTCCCGTGCTGGGAATCGAACCCTCACCTCCCAGTTCCTGGGTCGACGCTCAGCCACGGGGCCACGCCGGCCGGGCGGTAGCATGTGTGTGTCACGCCAGCACCCAGAAGCCCCTCGACACGACCAGTCCTTCCCACGGAAGGTGCTCCTCCCCTGCCCGGCTGGGGAATTATTTCCACCCGCAACCAATTATTTCCATCTAGGGCTGATGCCAGGTGGGGTTGGCACTGGTTTTAGGGGGGACGGGGACCCCCCTGCCGGAGAATTTCCTGCTCAGCGTCTGGGAGACCATCCCCTGGGTGTCCTTCATGGGGGGAAGGTTGGGGTCATCATTTGACATGAAAACAACAGCCCACCACCCGACAGCAAAGCTGAGAGAGAGGTGCCGTCTGACACGTGTGGGCGAGCGAATCCCAGCGTAGGAGACGGAGGACGAAGGGGCTCAATGTCAAGGCTGAATGGACTGTTCCTACAGGGGCCCCTATGTCCCCAAGCTCGGCCCAGATGGGCGTTTCAGGACCACCTGGGGCTCCTCACGGTTCCCTCCAATAGGAGAGGCCGGTGGTTCCCGGGGTGGGGCACACGCCCACAGGGGGGTAGTTTGATGCTAAGGGGGGCAGTTGGAGAAGGCGGTATTCAGCTTTGCATGTCTTAGGGTTTGAGGGGCCTCGTGGACAGTCCATACATATATATATATGGTGACCTATTGACGCATCTCAGTTCTCTGTGATATGTTTTGAGACTTTGCTATTTTTTCATATCATTTCACACTATTATTATTATTAAAAATTTCTTTTTAAAAAAATATATATTTTTTGGTCTTTTACAGAGAGGAAGGGAGAGGGACAGATAGTCAGAAACATCGATGAGAGAGAATCATCAAACATCAATCAGCTGCCTCCCTGCACACTCCCTATTGGGGATGT